TTGGTATTGGTGTGACTTTTGAATTGATTTTTTCGCTCTATTTTAAAGTGATTTGAAATTTTAAAAATTGCCTGCACATCAGCATCAAAATACCTTTCTAATGATATATAACTGTTTATACCTTAGAAGTATAGTTTAGCCGTAAAAGGGGTGTAAAGGAAACATGATTGCCTATTTATATAATGATATACCAATAGAATTGAGAAGTACCGAAAAAATCTCAAATCGATTTCATTAACCTATTACTAGTTTTTTTTTCATTTGTCCACTGTTAGTAACAGTTCTTCAATTGTACGCGACATCTATGTTTCGAAATGCAAAACATTATTATCCTGCAAGCTTTACGGTGACGTGTAATAATGCGCAGCGTAAATAACGTCCATGGGCAGTATTTCTTATCGTCCATAGACAATAGTATTACCTTTTTCGAAAGCGGTGAGCTACCCCGCATTGCGTGACGCAAAAATATTGACTAAATACGCTTTTTACATATTGCACACAATTTTTTTGTATGTTTTTTATGAAATATGCGCGTATATTAAATATCATGATAAAAAAATAGGAAGGTAGAACCGCTGAGAGGAATTTTTCACATTCTTTACGTTTGCAAGCAATTTAATTTTAAAATTTTACACACAAACTCACACACATATTCTCATTTTCAATCTCAAACAACAACAATTTGAACAATTCCTTTTTTTTACTCTCAATTTTATACGATTTAAAAATGTTGGCAAACTTCAAAAAAAAATCATGGCCGACGCATTGACAGAACGGTTTTACCTTACTATGCTTTTATCATGTTAAATATCGAGCCCTAACCGCCAAAATAACGTAAGCGACATTTTTTTCAAAATTTTCTTATTAATGCAGAAATATTCCTAGAGCATCTAGATACATTTCTGCATCAAAAAGAAAATTTTGAAAAAAATGTCGCTTACGTTATTTTGGCGGTTAGGGCTCGATATAATGGAATTTGATACTTATGAATGAAAAATTTGTAGGTTTGGATGGTTAGTAAATAATATTTATTTCGATGAAATAAACACACTTTCATTTTGTGAATTTAAGTCTAAAGCTCTATCCAGAATTGCAGCGGACGACGGTAAAGCGGTCGTCGATTAACCGCTGTCAAAAATAATTCTTACAAAGGCACATGGAATGGCACATAAATGCGACGGTAACGTTTTTAACGCCGACGTTTTTCAGTTGATTTAAATTTATTTATATTTTTACTCTACAATGAGAGTGAGGATGCGAGTGATTTTCTGTTTTTATGCGAATTATTCCGATGATTTACGAGAACCTTAAGACCAAGTCGCTAAGGAGCTCTCTGTCACTGAGATCTGCCGTCTGTGAAATTTTGTTCGCGGCACACAGCATTTTTCACTTTAACTAAGCAGTTACCGTTCGTACCCAAATGTCTCAATATGCGCCTGCTCTAGGCAATAAGCTTTAACTATCTTAACCTATCCTATCTTTCCACGCAGCCTCACTCACTGCATGTACAAGGTAAAATATCCGTTTATCTGTGACTAAAAATTAGTTGGACGACTGTTTGGATAACTTCGATAGTTTTTGAAAAAATCCTGGTAAAAAAGTAACGAAATAAACACAGCTGTCTGTCGTACGAAACACATGTATACTATATTAATTAGATATTCACATTCAAGTTACAAACTTCATTCGGGTTCACGAACATTAGGTATACCATTTAGCTAACCACAAACGTATTCTATCGCACAAAAACCATCCTTCGCCCCAGACGCTTTCAGATGCATATCTTTTTGGCTTATGATGCTCTGATCGCCTCTTACGGCATCTACGAACTTCCTGGCGACGTTCTAGCTCAGCCAACCAAGCAATACGTGATTCTTCCCAACATAGCGATTTGTGATGCGCACGTCCAGCGCTGCCAAAAACAATATCCTCATCAGATGGTGTACACACAAGGCGTGCTAGTTTGGAATGGTGTCATTAAGGATTCACAACATCGTTTAACCTACAAAACCGCGTGTCTAGGTTCTGAAAAACATCGCAACTGGCATCTGTGCCAAAAATGAAATTAACCAAAATATCGATATCTAGATATAAAAGGTAGATATAATTAGAGAAAAAAAGAGAATCGTTTTGAAATAACACAAGATTTATTCTCCCTTGCAAAATTTGTGCAGCCTCGGAAACGAGATTTTGCTTTGGTTTGATACGCGGTTTTGTACTTTAGACGACGATAAATATATTTTTATAAATATTAACTTAGTTGCACACCTTCGTCGAGGAACCTAACAAAACTTAAAAGTTTTCCCCGCCGAATCTCCAAAGTTTTGACCGCGCATGATTTACGCCGTTTCTGCCTTAGATCAGCATAAAACAATAGTGAGTCTTTATGCTTGAGTGCTAGCTGGTTAGTATAGTAGTAGGTTTCGTTCGGCAATAGTAGTTCGAAAATTGGCACTGACACATTGTAGTCGGGATCGAGTGAATTGGTGGACGTCGATGCTTTGTTGGATGATAATTTCGCACCTAAAGCATACTTCTTGATCAGATTTTTAATTATTCGTAAGGCTTTCGGTTAGCTACAATCATATCATTGGCATTTGCTTGGTAGGACTTACTATCTTCGTTGGGTTGGGGCAAATCCGATGCTACCTCCTCATGGACTTCCACTGACATTCTGGTATGTTGCGGCGAACGACGCAATGGCTTTTGATACAAGAGTATTGAATCGTGAGGCTTCAGCATTGTTTGTCTGTCAAAGTTTGAACTATCTTGCAAAGATAAGCTCTTATAATCGGACGACACTGTACTGTCTCTATCTTTCGTAGTACCCATGTTTTCAACACCAATTGTAGTTGCCTTGCAACATTTCGCATCGCGACATGTAGAGCAGACATTTTCTAGAGATTTCCCGTCCATTTTGCATACACTTCTCGTCATACATGTTGAATCGGCTATAACGTCTTCTTTCTTTTCGCTGCATGCATCTGCGCCGCTCTCTAAACGTGTATGCTGCAAATTCTGAGTGTTATCGTGTGGACTGAGATGTGGATTCACCAAGGCACATTGGCAAGTGGTCAATGTTGCAGATATCGAATGCAAAGAACTTTGTGGCAAAAAATAAA